GGGTTACAGGGTTACAGGGTTACAGGGTTACAGGGTTACAGGGTTACGTGCAGTTATTTCAGTGGTGATGGGAGAAAACAGTATATGCCTGAAGAACAGTTGGGGTAAGAATTTTTGGCACCATGCCTTTATTTGGGAGGGTTGACTTCTTTGATCCTGCAATTGAAGACTGGGCCCAGTATATGGAAAGAATGAGATTTTTTTCCCAGCAAATGACATTGGGACAGATGAAAAGCAATGAGTAATCCTTCTGACTGCTTGCGGACCTGCAGCATTCTTGGTTTTAAAAGACAACTTTCCCAGAGGCACCAGGCACTAAAACCTTTCAAGAGTTGACAGAATTGGTTAAGGAATATTACAACTCCTCTAATTCTGAGACGCTGTTGGTTTTATTTGGCAGTTAGAGAACCGGGGGAATCCTTATCAGGATTTTTGATGAGATTGTGATGACTGGCAGACCAATGATTTTGGATTAACAGTGAATGAGATGCTGAGAGACTGTTCAGTACATGGGATTAATGACATAACCATGCAGAAGCGCCTACTAGCTAAAGCCTAAGTGGACTTTAAACAGGCATTACAACTATTAGAAAATGCTGCAAGTGGAGTATGGGAGCTACAGGACATCACAATGGAAGCAGTCTCCCTCACCTGTCAGATCGAGCTTGGGGAACAGCACTTGAGGGTAGGCAATTACAGAGCCCCACTCTGAGGACTGAGCAGGGGGACCTAGGACAGCCCACAGCAGAACCCCACAACAAAGTCAAGCATCAGCCAAGTAGCTTAAAAAGTTCTACAGGATTTGGGCCAGCAAGCCATTGTGGTTGCTGCAGTATGCGGAATTGAGACAGCAAAGGAGTCCTACAAGGTCTGACTTGAGTAAGAAAACTCCTAGGCTGATACCCAGGAGAGTGCACCCCCTGGAAAGTACCCCTACTGCTTAGTGATACCCAAATCGGAACCAATTAAAATTAACGTTTGGTTAAATGTTCACCCAGTTCCCACAGAGGTAGATACCAGTGCAGCTGTATTTGTGGTTGCGGAACCTGTCTTTAACAAGACTCGCTTGGGACTCCAACACTTAAGCTTGTGCAAGACCTCAGCCAGACTAAGAACGCACACTGGGCAACTGCTGCAGATCAAGGGTACAACTTTATTTCTGGTTGCCTATGAGAAGCAGTTGGTGCAGTTACCGCTGATGGTAGTAAAAGGCTTGGGCCCAAGCCTATTGGGGTGGGATTGTTTGAGAAAGATTCCCCTGATTGGCGCAACGTTTTTTTGATGAGAAAATGGCTGCCTCAGTGAAGTCCTAGTGAATTACTCCGGAGTATTTCGTGAAGGGCTTGGGACTATCAAAAGAGCCAAAGCCACTTTCCATGTTGACAAGGAAGCAATTCCGAGATTTTTGCAGAGCCTGCCCGATGTCATCAGCCTTGTGTGCAAAAGTAGAGGCTGAAATCAGGATACTGGAGAGCGAAGGAATCATCAAACTAGTGCAGTTTGCAGAATGGGCAGCACCAGTCATACTGATTGTGAAGCTTGACGGCTCAGTTCCCCTTTGTGGGGATTTTAAGCAAACAGTAAACCACTTCTCACAGCTGGACAAACACCCGATCCCTCGCATACTGGACTTGTAAGCAAAGCTGGCGGGGCTATCCTTTATAAAGCTGGATGTGAGCCACGCCTACCTGCAATTGCGACTGGATGAGGAGTCCCAGAAGTACACTACAATTAACACCCATAAAGATTTATATCAATATACAAGACTGTCATTTGGGGTATCATCAGCCTGTGCACTTTTCCAACGGATCATAGAGAACATTTTACAATGGCTACCCCAGGTTGCCATTTATCTGGATGACGTGCTAATAATCGGGAAGACCAATAAAGAGCACTTGGAGAACTTATACACAGTACTTAAACGTTTCTCCTGGGCAGGTATACGCCTCCGAAGGGGAAAAATGTGTGTTTCAGGTATCCCAAGTGAC